TATCTCCTAGAAAATATCCAATGTCAGCAGAATATCCAATCAGCACCACCTGTTTAAAAATAATAAATAACAATTTGGTTTCTAATGCTTTAGCAGATAATTGTTAATCAAAAAGAAAACAAACAAGTACCCAGAAAAACACAGCTTACCGCAACTGCTATCATTAAAGATCCAGCAAGAATAAAGGGACGCCTCCTTCCATATTTTGAAGAACACTTATCACTCCATATACCGACACATGGTTGAACCTAAGAACCAAATATTAAATAAAATGAGAAAGTTACCATATAAATCAACAAAAAATAAATATTTATGTTGATCCGATAAACAGAATTGCAACCAAAGTACAAAAGTTTTTTAAATGTTCAAAATTTGTCAGCCTCCTGTTCAAGTCCCAGGAAAGAGCTTGAAATACTCAATCTCTATGTTTGATAACTAAGGGCATGTACAAGTCACAAACATATTTGAAAAAAAAAAAAAGAGAGAACTTAATAGTAAAAGAAAGGTGCAACAAAAATGTTACACGCCTTGTCAGACATCTTCTTCCTATGATGCAAACTAACTGGGCACTATTAACTTGCTTGCTTTAAAGAGTGCATGCTAGACTCAAGCCAGGCAATGGACTACGAAATGATCATCATGTCCTAATTCTCTTTGCCTCAGAGTAAATAAAAAGGATACAAATAAGAACCATATGGCAACAGACATTAATAGCGTACTACAGAGAAAAGCGACCAATCCAGCATGTCATGATCATGAATGGAATGTATATTTGTACATTTTACATATATATTTCATTGGATCCATGTACATTTAACCAACTTATATGCATCTCACTTTAACCCCGGGAGACAATCACCTAGCCCTACAAATAGCAAAAAACTCATAAAATATTTAGTAAACCAGGTAAGTGACCAAGGCGTGAACTCAAACCTTCAAATGCATAGGAATTTACAACACTATCTTTTTGTATGCCTTTTGTTTTCTTTCATTCTCCTAAACTTACGTTTCAAAAAAATTGTCGAGAATGAAAGAAAACAAAAGAGCATACAAAAAGACAGCCCAACTAAAAGAGTCAAACTAAAACAAAAAGGGTAATTACAAAAAAGCCGAAAGAGAGAAGTGAAAACCTAGCAAAAGATCAAACCTCCTCCAGGAACTCTCAACCCCTCTATATAAAATTTACCTCATTAGTCCATAAATATGGTAAGATACTGTTTTAATGCATAATATTCCAATGTGCGCATTTACACCGGAAGTTAAGTACACAATGTGTGCATTCTATCAATAATTTTGTTTATATCGTCAATAACGGATAAAATTAGGGAAGATTTTTTTTTTTTTTAAGTACAGCATGTTGGGAAGGGGATTCAAACTCACAGCCTTATGATTTGAGGTATATGTCAATTACCGCTGAGCTATGGCAAATTAGGAAAGAATTGATATGAAATTATTATAATCACCTACCACGAGACCAGTGATGGGACCGCAAAGCCAAATAAACGAAGAAAATGCATGCTCAATTCCAAGTGTCTGCAAAATTAGACCAAAAAARGATGTCTAAATTAGCAACCAAGTAAACGGTAAGATTAGGGAAAAAAACTAAACARATATAAATGTGGAGTACCATGAGCTAGAAAATGCCTTATACTAACACAACGGGCATCTGGAGATAATAAGGCAACTACTARAACAAGGTYGTAATKAAGAAAATGATCCARACAACAATATTCGCAGRAAACAATCTTAATCATACGCAATAYTGAATCCGAAGACSTMGCGACTCATAGACGAAAACAAAATCGRAGACRCATGCGAGRAACARTACCTGAATATAGGGAGTTAGTAGGGAAAGCTGTAAAGCCCAACCAAATTGAACACCGGCAGCGATAGTACAACTGAGAATTAAGAKAAACAAACTATTGGGCGTAGATCTAACMGGAGGCGTTGACGACGAACTCTCTGGGCTTCCACTGTGATACCTATCAGAAGGAGGAGAATTTAGGTCGATCCGTTGGAGCTGGTGTTCATCCACAGCCACCATCTCCACTTCTGCATCCTGGAGGTTCTTGTACGGAACCCTAAAGGAAACCAAGTTGGGGGTCGCCGCCATGACTGGAGCTAATCAGCTGCAGTAAAAGTATCGATCTGTACACCGAAGCTAAAGCTTCCAACGGAGATCCGATCATACAGTATGAAATGAAATTGATGCTGAAATCATTTTGGCGGTCGAAGGGGATGGATGAAATCTGATGGAATCGAAGACGAACCTCTGGCTTCAGTCGAAATTCAGTGCCATTGCTGAAGCAAAAACAGAAAAGAAAAATGGCGATCGTCAATTGAATTCAATCACCGTCGATTCCACTGCGCAAGATCTTAGAAGGGACCTTATAAAAATGAGTTTAGAAACTTAAAATTAAGTTTCTACAATTAGACTATTGTATCAGAAAAATAAACTAATTTAGAATTTGCATTCTTAATTATTATTTTATTGGACAGATAATATTTAGTAATATAATATCCTATCTAATTAGACAATTTGGTCCGCTGGTCAAGGTTTTGGAAGAAGCCAAAAATGTAAATCCATACCTTTGGTAAAAAAAAATATTCATACTATGGTGGCCACCTACCGGATTTAATATCCCATGAATTATCTTGGCAACCAAATATAGTAGGGTTAGACGGTTGTCTCGTGAGATTAGTCGAACTACGTGCAAGCTGACTCGTACACTCACGGATTAAAAAAAATTTCATGATTATTATGATAATAATATTTTTGAAAAATTATACTATAGGGTAAAAAGTAAATATGTTGACACGTGCCTAGGAGCTATTTTAATTTTATTTTGTCATATATATTATTTTTAATTTAAAAAAAATGAACATCTATCAAATACTATAGTGTTATTTAGTACAGGTGTAGTGGCGTGGGATCCAACTCATATGCTCGCTTTGACGATCGTTCACTCACCTTAGCATCAAATATTATAGTTATTATAGTAAAAACAAATACTAAAATAATTTATATTTACAAGAAAATGAAATAGTACGAATGTAATTAATCACACATTATGTCATGTTTTACCTAAACATGTTTTGCTATTGAACATGCTTAAAATGAAATGATAAAGTCACATAATCGTAACATGCTTTGCAACACATCAAATTTAACCACAACAACCAATCAATAATATTGGGTTTTGTTATTTTGTTACTGTGAAGTAGTTAACAAGTCAGTTAATTTTATTTCATTGTACTTGTACTTCTTGTGCTATATATATGAGTCCAACCCATTAATAAAATGTGTGCAAGTTTTATTTAGCTCACTGGTTTAATATGGTATTAGATGAGATTTTTTAAAAAGGAATTTCTATTTCCTTTTTCTTTACCAATTTTGGCTATTTCTTCCCTTGGCTATCATCTGTTACTGGATTTTTCTTGCACGTCTTCAATGGCGGATGATGATACAGTGAATCCACGACTAGTTTGAATTCCTCTATGCATCAATCCACCCTTGAACAGTATGCGAACCCTTATTTCCTTCATCACTCCGACAACATGAGCCTCGTCCTTGTGTCTAATTTGTTGAATGATGACAATTACATTTCTTGGAGTAGATCGATGCTCATCGCTCTCACTGTAAAAAAATAAGGTTGGCTTCGTTGATGGTTCAATTACGCATCCAACAGGTGAATTGCTTCATTCTTGGACAATTTGTAACAACGTCGTAATTTCTTATATTTTGAATTCTTTATCCAAAGAAATTTCTGCGAGCGCTCTGTTCACCGTCTCTGCACGCAATATTTGGTTTGATAAAAAAGAATGTTTTCAACGTCAAAATCGGCCTCGTATCTTTCTATTGCGCTGCAATTTATCAAATCTTGTTCAGGATCAATTGTCTTGTCTGTCAGTATTTCACTCGCCTGAAAACATTATGGACTGAAGTCGCCTCATATCGTCCTTCTTGTTCATGTGGCAAGTGTTCTTGTGGAGGTGTTAAATCCATTGTTGAGTTCCAGGAGTATGTTATGTGCTTTCTTATGAGCCTCAATGACTCCTTCAGCCAATTGCTTGCTCAGTTGTTGATCGTGGAACCCGAGCCAACCATCAATCATGCTTTTTCTCTTGTTGCTCAGGAGGCGCAACAAGGTGCGATTATTTCCCTTACTGCTCCAATGCCTACTGCTTTGTTGGCCAAAAATAGTTCTACTTCGGTTATTCCACACTCACATCTACCCTCTGGTGGTTCTTCTTTTTCTCACATCAAGAAGAAAGAAAAGTCTGTTTGTACCCATTGTGGTATTACTGGCCATACCGTGGATCGGGGTTACAAATTGCATGGCTATCTACTTGGTCATCGGTCTGGCAATAAACAAGTTTCATCTTCTTTCACTTCCAAATCCGCTGCTGAATCTATTAAGACTACTACCACGACTCCAACATCTGTTGATTCTTTATTTGCCCTTAATGTCGATCAATGTCAAGGGCTTCTCAATTTGCTGCAGTCACGCTTATCCAAGGTTAAAACTCCTACTGAATCGGATCATGGTCCGTCTCATGTCGCAAGTACTTGTTATAATTCTTCCTCTGCACATAGTATTTTGCAACATCATTGGGTCATCGATTCTGGAGCTTCTGCTCATATATGTTTCATTCGGGATTTGTTTATGTCACTTCACCAGTTTCTGGCATCACAATTTCGTTGTCCAATCAGTCTCATATATTAGTTGATTTTAATGGCGATGTTCAAGTGACTTCTGATTTGCTGCTCAGAAATGTTCTGTTTGTACCTACATTCTGTTTCAACCTGTTTTATGTTAGTTCCCTTACCAAGTCTACTTCTGTTTCGGTTCAATTTACTAATCAGTGTTGTATTCTTCAAGACAAGTGTTATTCGAAGATGATTGGCATAACTAATCTTTGGCAAGGCCTCTATCTTCTTCCGATTCATAATACCAACATCAGTGTGGAAACCTCAGCCACTGTTTGTTTTGGTTCTTCTACTTATCAGACATGGCATGCTAGATTTGGTCATCCTGCTTTTAAGAATTTACTAGCTTTAAGAGATGTTTTACACATTACTTCTCTTCCTAAGCATCATTTTGCTGCTTTTTTGTGATATTTGTCGTTTGGCTAAGCAAAAGAGACTCCGTTTTGATTCTCATAATAATTTTGCTGTTGATTCTTTTGATCTTATACGCTGCGATATTTGGGGGCCATTTGCTTCATCTACTCACACTGGTTGTCGATATTTTTTTACCATCGTGGATGATTTTTCAAGATATACTTGGACTTTTTTAATGAAGCGAAAGTCTGATGCACTGGTTATTGTTCCTCGATTTTTTAAACTGATTGAAACACAATTTGAAAAAATCATCAAATGTTTTCATTCTGACAATGCTCCTGAGTTGTCATTTGCTGAATTTTTAAGCTCTAAGGGTGTTCTTCATCAATATTCTTGTGTTGGTCGACCAGAACAAAATTCAGTTGTTGAACGAAAACATCAGCACTTGATGAATGTTGCATGTTCTATTTTTTTCAGTCTCGGGTGCCTGTTCAGTTTTGGGGACAATGCATACTTACATCCTCATTTTTTATTAATCGAACTCCTTCACATGTTCTTAATTGGACTTCTCCATATTTTCGTCTATATGGTACACATCTAGATTATTCTTGTTTAAGGAGTTTTGGTTGTTTGACTTTTGCTTCAACTTCTCCACACCAAAGAAATAAATTTGAGCCCCGGGTTGTTCCTTCTATATTTCTTGGGTATCCCCCCGGTATTAAAGGCTATCATCTTTTTGATATTACTCAGCAAAAATTCTTTATTTCCCGATATATTGTTTTTCATGAGAATGTGTTTCCTTTCCATACTGTTAAACTTGATGCTGCATCTTTGGATCCCTTTTTTGATGTTGTTCTGCCCAAGTCTTATGAATATTATGGGCGTTTTGTTGATCCTATTATTGATGCATCCTCTGAAAATTCTGCTGCTGTGCCTACTGTTGATTCTCATGAGCCTTCTGATGATAGTATTTTTCCCACTGCTTTGTCTAATGGTAATTCTGCTGCTCATGATATGTCTACTGGTTTACATGTTGATTTTAACACTACTAATGTTGGTCAGACCTTTAGTACATTTGCTGAATCTTCTTTAGCTCCTCAATCAACTTCTGATTTGGTAGTTCATGCCCCTAATTCTGCTGTTATTGATTCTGTTGTGTCTTCGGTTACTCCATCTATTTTGCGCCGATCTACTAGAACTACCACACGGCCTTCCTACTTATCTGATTATCATTGTGACCTTCTTAATACCTCTGCTTCCTCTTCTGTCCCAGATATGATTGGTACTAAATACCCGTTACACAAATATCTGAGCTATGCCAAATAATCTCCTTCTTACAGGAATTTTGTTATGAATATTTCTACTCAATATGAACCACATTCTATCACTAAGCTGTCTGATTCCCGCAATGGCATGAAGCTATGGATATTGAGTTAAAAGCTATAGAGGCTAACCACACGTGGTCTGTTGTACCACTTCCCTCTGACCATCACTCCATTGGATTCAAGTGGGTGTATAAGATCAAGCATAACTCCGATGGGACTATTGATCGTTACAAAGCTAGGCTTGTTGCCAAAGGGTATACTCAGCAGGAAGGTTTGGATTATATAAAGACGTTTTCTCCTGTTGCTAAGATGGTTACTGTCAAGGTCTTGTTGACTTTAGTCGTCTCTTTGTCTTAGCCTATAGTTCAACTTGATGTGAATAATGCATTCTTGCACGGTGACTTGATTGAGGAAGTCTACATGGATTTACCCCTTGGTTATAAACATAGTGTGGTTGCTTCTCATTGGGAGCGTTAGTATGTCTTCACAAATCCATCTATGGCTTGAAACAAGCTTCTCGGCAATGGTTTGATAAAATTTCTCATGCCCTTCTACTTTTGGGTTTCAAGCAAACTAAGTCTGACTATTCATTGTTTATTCGAGGTACTTGACCTTCCTTTATTGCTTTGCTTGTCTATGTCGACGACATTATTATTACGGGGGCTTCTTCGAATATCATTGATAATCTCAAATATCATCATAATGATGTTTTTAAACTCAAGGATTTGGGGCACCTTCGGTATTTCTTGGGCCTTGAGATTGCTCGATCTACTGCTGGTATATATCTTTCCAGTGCCATTATGTTCTTCAGTTGCATGAAGATACTAGTTTTCTAGCATCTAAGCTTTGCCAATTGCCTATGGATCCTCATTTGAAGTTATCTGTCACTGATGGCAAGCTCTTGGATGATCTTTCGGTTTATCGTTGACTTATTGGTCGTCTTTTATATCTCACTATATCTCGACCCGACATTGTTTCTGCTCTCCACAAGCTCAGTCATTTTGTTTCTCAGCT